GCTTTGTATTTTTTTGTTGTTCTGAATGTGAGAAGTACCTCAGACAAAACCACGTTGGTTCTAACAAACATTTTCTTTCATGACCCCCTAGGTTACATTCATGATCTAAACTCATTTAAAACAATTTTACATATCTCAGTGTCATTAAGAATGTCTTATTCTTGATGCATTGCAGAGGTTCAGGTGTGTGCTTCCACAAATTTCTGCTTGGGAATCCAAAGTGCATTTCAGGTAGAGCCGAATCTCCTTGCTTTTTCTTGTGAAATTCAAATGTACCATTCTGTAGAGCAAAATCCAGGTTCAGGAACTGCAGCCACAGTTGAAAGGAGATTTATTGTCCTTTTTTGTTGACTGATTTTGCAAGTTCAAAGAATTAAGTCAATAGCATCATCACAAAAAAGGGTCTCTGTGTAACATCCAAGCAACAGTTGCACATGCCATTGTTCTGGTAGTGACCCACAGGTTTATTCTTTGCTACCGTGTTACCTATAAAAGAAGAAGAAGGAGTTACCTACATAGAACGGATCAAACAAGGATGATAGCACGTGCTTTGCTGCTGCAAAGGAACTGTGCACATAAACAAGTCATGAACAAGCTTGGACCAGGCACACCTACATACCTCACACAGAAAGAGAATCTATATGTAGATGTTGATTACACTGTTATTCAATAGTATAAGGAAGATATGAAGATTAAAAAATGGCTTTTTACTAATAAATTTGCTACAAACATCTCATGGAAATCTCCTTCTGCTATATTTTGCGTAGCATCAATGTTGACACCAATGCCTACACCATAAGTGTATGACTTACATCCCAAGTTTTAATTTACTTCCCTGAGGTAGGCGATGTAAGACACAAGCTCTTCAGCTTTTCACGTTTTAACTGTCCCACTCAGCTACTCACTGTTCATCTAAACACTGAGCAGAGTCAGGAGTCTCCTGTGCTTCACACACTTCAAGTTACTCCAATATTTTCACAAAATTAAAAGATAGAGGACTTAAAATTGATTAAATGGCATTTCCTCTTTCAGTGTATAATTAACCTGTGGAAGTCACTGTCCCAACTATTACTGATCCCAGGGTCTTAGAAAGCTTTAAAAATTGATTAGAAATTTAAATGGTAATGAGATCATCTTTGCTATATAACATAGGAAAAAATTTAATATGGAATGGCTCTCAACTCTCATGTTTTAGACATAAGCCTACTGTGAAATGGGAAGAATGTCATGTATGTGTACATTTTCTGTAGCTGTCCACAACGGTTTTGCTGTGCTGTTCTGATTTAACCATCACAGCACTGAGACACACAGGCAGCTCTGCGGTTTGGACTACCGGGCACAGTCAGATAGGACAGTTCATACAGTAATCTCTGTGTAAAGTTTTAATAATGCACTTAATGCATAGTTTGTTGAATGGGCTGAGTTTGGACAAATCTTTGGTTCATTTTTAAATTAAAAAAATGTTATGTCATACTTCCCTTTTCCCTGTAACAAGGGAAATGTTCTTTCTATTGTATTTGCCTTCCAGTTCAATACTGCCTGTGCTCTAAGCTTGTGTTCAGAATCTGGAGTTACTCTGAACTCTCTATTCTGAACTCTCATTATATTTGTGCAACAACTATATCTTGGTAGACAGAAAACCACTCACAAGTCAGGCAAAATACCTACAGAGGAAATACGTATGCCAAGAGAGATTCTGTAGCCCAGCTTTTGCTGTTTGGCAAGCAGACATCTACGTGTAAGCTTGTCATCCGGAGCTTCCTTAAGGTACAGTAGAGAGAAAGAAGTACCTGTGGGAACACTCTTGAGGATGAGCAGTCATGCTGTGAGATCGCCCATTTCTCCCCATGTGACTGGAGAATCCTAAACAACTCAGCTTGGATGGAAACTTGCCTGCAAACTGGGCACAATGAACCTCACCCACAAAACCTTGGACAAATGATGTCCTTTGTTACTTGTACCAATAACGAAGACAAAATTCATGATTTCAGACTGATCCTCAAAAGGTAAAACATTCAAAGCTAACTACAGGAGTGCAGCAACTTGGTGATGGTATGACAAGTCCTTCAGCTTTTAGAAATGTCACTACTGCTGAAGATACAGTTGTGTTAAATCTCAGCCTCCAAAAGCAGCTCTTCAGGATTCACTTAAAACACAAGCAAATACATAGAAAAAGGTTGTATGGGTCAAACCCAAAATATTTTAAAACATGAAAGTCATTATTTCCCTGAAGCATCCACACATAAAACACATACTGCAAACAGTGGAAGAGTTTCTAGCAAGGAGTAATTATAAAGAGGGGGACTGAGACATCTTTTTAAAGGATCTGCCCTTTAAGGAAGTCTTCCTGTTCCCTTCTCTAACAGGGCTAATCACTAGTTAAAGGTTCAGGCTCTCTTGTGCCATTTCAATGTAAAGTTTAACCACTAACTTCATTATTCATCTCTTTATTCATATTGTTGCAGTACTCCTCAGAACCAGGATCTCCCTCATGCTGTTGCTAACTGCAAGCACAAGAAAAATACAGTCCTACCTTAACATACTCAAATCTAAAACAACACAGGGCAGGGAAAGGAAAACCAAACCATGCAAGGAAAATGAACAGTTCTCATGTCAGTCACACTGCAGAATGACTCACATCGAAGAACAAGTGCCAGTTGTTTGCTTATCCTTTCAATTAAATGCCCCTCAAAGAAATCTCCTATGGTGACAAAAATCAATGCAAAATGCATTACTCCACATCCCAGCAAAGCAGAGGAAGGGTTTAATGAAACACCATTTACACTCCTAATGCTACCCACTGCCCTCTGTTAGACCCACACAAATTCACTGGAGTTGATGAATTTGCACAGGTCTAATTGCCGGCAGGATGATTTGTCCCACTGTAGCTTTATAAAGACATCCCTAAACTCATCAGAATACATTACCATATTCTGTAGTTTGCTGGTTGCAATATTTGTCATGGATAATAAAATAAATGATCCATGCCAAATTTGCCCTTCTATTAGTAAAATCCCACTGACTCAGGCTGCCTCTCTGCACTGTTTAAGAGCAGGAGTCACGAACACAGGCTATATGACTCGTGGTCAGTTGACCTCAATGAACTAAGAGGCAACTGTTTATAGGAAGGAAGAGAAAGCTGCATTAATGAGGACTTGACGCCTCAGGCCTTTGGTCATCAATGCCAAGATAAAGCTCTTTCTTCTACCCTTCACCCCTCTACTATCTATTGAAGGTATCAGGGATATTTAACCCTGGCTTACTCTTTTCCAATAAGGTCCTTTCAGTATAAACTGCCAGCTCTCTTCTGGTATGTCCACAGATGAAGTAGTCTTACTCAGTACCTAAGAGTCCTGCTTCACCAGTCTCACCCTTCAGCGTGATGCTACAACACTACCCTTTATCTACATATGAGTAGTTAAAAGTCAGTGCTTGTGAAGAAATGGAAAGGCTCAGGGTGATCTATACCTTTCAAAAACTGACAGCCAATTACCCATACTGATTCTAGAGAGTGCACATCAAATTTCAGGTGTAGTATCCATCACAGGAGAACAGTTGGACTAGGCACACTATAGACTACATCTTTGGCATCTGAAAAATAACATGGATTTCCAACAACTCCTTTGTTCTTAAAAACAGGAATAGAGTTTTTCAGACTGATTGGTTTGGTCAGAGTTTTCCAGCAAGCCTGCCACCATGCAATGTCTGTAGCTGGGCTTTAGATCGCCAATATCACACCACAGCTGCCAAAAACCACCACATATTCTCTCTTTCATCCAGAAATTGGCAGTTTTCACTCCTTAGAACAGCCATTATCAAACAATATTTGGTGTCAATATTTGCTTATTAACTTAGACTGCAACTTACTCAACAACTTTCATTCCCAACTAGAAGAGGCTGTAAAGAAAAAAGCTAAGCATATGTCTTGCCTAGCTATTACCTGCTAAAGACTCCTGGTTTACCATATATTTAGATACGCAGTTTGCTGTGACTTGAACTTCAATGTACTGAACTCATTTTAGATTGTTAAGGAGACAGAGGATATGACATTTTGTCTCTGCTGGCCACTAATTAAGAAATAGAATGGCACAGCAAAGTGTTTTTTTTGGAACAGGCTGTCTACAGGATGGTCTGTAATTAGAAATTATCTGAACCAGCCTGATTTCCAGTGGTGCTCAGTGTCCCACAGTTCCCACTGACACCAGCGCAGATTCTCAACAACTCCCAGTGAAGGCCACTTCTTTCAAAAGCTTAAAGGGCTTTCCAGTGGCACAGGAATCTAACTTTAGGTGACAGTGGTAAAGACCTTAGATCCATGTACTCAGTCTGCAAATTGAAGAATTGATCCTGGAACATGATTATCCCTCTAACACTTGTCACAACTGAATAGTTTCTTCACTAAAGACTGAAGCACAGCTGCCTTCGTTTTGACTCCAACACACAGTAACTTAAATAGGCTGGCAGTGAAGGGGCAGTTCTGACCCAACATTAACAACATTAAAAGAAGGCTCCAGGGAGACCTTATAGCACCTTCCAGTACCTGAAGGGGCTACAAGAAAGCTGGGGGGGACTTTTTACAAGGGCCTGTAGTGACAGGACAAGGGGTAACAGGTTTCAGTTGAAAGCAGGGAGATTTGGAAAGGACATCAGGAAGAAATTCTTCCTGGAGAGGGTGGGGAGGCACTGGAACAGGTTGCCCAGAGAAGCTGTGGATGCCCCATCCCTGGAAGTGTCCAAGGCCAGGCTGGATGAGGCTTGGAGCAACCTGGTCTAGTGGAAGGTGTCCCTGCCCATGGCAGGGGGTGGGACTGGATGGTCCTTAAGGTCCCTTCCAGCACAAACCCTTCTATGACTCCCTTCTCTGAGAACAATTGCATTAACCATGACTTTCCAAAACACAGAAGAATCCAGTACTGGTGCTCACACCTGCAGCTGCAATGCAATAAGCAAGTGCTATCAGCAGACTGGCACCTTTAAATATAGGTGATCTCTGTACTTGCCTTTGTGGTTTTGACTTTATTTCCACTGCTGCAAGACCAACCTGAATAGTCTGGTAGTACTTTACAGTCCTCTCCATCCAAACAGGGATTCATATGACACCACCACTTCTGCAGGACTATGGAAGCTAGAAAGAAACAGGGAAGAGAAACAATCTCAGTTTTAGTGAGGACATTGTCTTTGTGCTGTTCAATTGTTTGATTACAAAAGGTAGAAACCAACAGTTACTGTTTTAATAGCTCATCACACTGATTCTGTTTCAGCTAAAAATGTGGCTAAAACACATCACCAGCACACAAAAGGGTAAAAGCCATATGCAGATGGTGAAGACAGGCAAGCACTGCCAGAGACTGATTTGTCTCCATCATTTGAACTGCCCTCTGAAAGCACCTTTCTGTCTTCACTGACTGTAAAGATGACTGGCTTCCTTCATTTACATGCTTCAGTCAAGCACTTGCTGTAAGGTGAAATTTAACTAAGGATTCTTGTTTAACCCGGATATGCATATGCAAGACTAGGCGAAGAAATGGCAGCTTCTCCCTTCACTGGGTGAGAAAATAGAATTGCACAGAGATGGAAACATGTGAGGTCTGTCAGCAAATAGGGCAGATAAGGATGTGGAAACCACTGGAAAGCATTAGTTTATTAACTAAAATTTACTTGCAGTTACACTGCCAATTTTGCAGTATGTTTTGGAAGACTACAATAGTGCACGTTAACAGTGCAAATTTATTAATTTTCTTCCCCTAAGCCAATTTCCATTAATAAGACCATGCTTGTTATTTTTACAGATGTGGTCATGGCTTTACAATACAGCTGTTAACAACTGATATACTTTCCCACAAACCCCTCCAAACATCTGCATGCATTTCTCAGTTTTGCATTGTTCGAGGGATTCATCAAATCCTAGAAAATTATTATGAAATATATCAGTTCATAATCTTACATAAACTAAATTGAATTTTGAAATAAAACATGGCATAAATGTTGATTTAGTTAGCGTGTATTATTCTACAAAGTGGACAAAATATTGAATTGCAGGCTTTAAAAGATAACACATCCAAAAGAGATGAACAAAAATAATTTAGTCTACTTCTTGTAAAGCACTTTTTTTCTTTTTAATTTCAAGGTAGATTCATACTTCTGCAACCTTCAAATTAGGGTGACAAGCAGGCAAGCTGACACTAGGATATTGCTGAAATGTTCATTCAATTACTTTTGTTTTGAACTTTCACTCTAAGCCTACGTGAAAAATACACTTCTGGAACACCATATCAGCTTTTATAAGCTATTCTTTGAATCTCATAATATTATAAAAATAAGTGCACGATTCCTTTCACCAGTCACTAGGATCTTAGATCATTTACACTGACGACGATTGATTGTTTACAAAACAGACAAAAATTCATTGTGCTTCCTAGGAAGTGAGGGATCATTTCCACTCCAGACATATGGTCCAGTCATCTATTTTATCTCTCTCCTACTTTCTAATTTATTTCTATTTCTATACCACATTTATTTCAGGTAAACATGAGCAGGACTAGAAGGCTGGATTCAACAAGACTGAGGGCAGGTGCAGAGGTCCCTAAGCCAGCAGGAGATCCTGTTAGAAAGCCAGCTGCATATTCCAAGCTCTGCTTCAAAGCCAGTGAGTCCTGCTGGGGGGCCTGGGGACCACATTTCACAGCTCTGCACAGTGCCATCGTGAGTGTGGAGGTGGTGACATGCTGAGACTTCGCCTGAACTCTCACAGGTGAACATGCTTTCATATATTTAGTGCTACCCTAAAAACCTAAGTTCATATTGGTTTGGGTGCAGTTTGTGTTGAGATCACAGAAAATGCACCCAACGTGGCAGTTTTTATTTATCTATACCACCTGCATCACCCTGCTCCTAACACCAGATAAAAAAAAAAAGACATTAGTTGGCTGGCCAAAAGCGCAGCAGAGGAGGGGGGGTCACACAGCATGCTTGACCAATTGTGCCCATGCAACCTCCTGGTCCAGGTGGAACTGAAGATAGTGAAACTGGCCCACCATCTCCAGCAGTACCAACTTCCATTAAAACAAGCACAGATGTGAATGGGAAACATTGCTGAGTCAATCTGTAACTCAAAATCCACAAGCTCTTCAATCAACTGTATATTTCACCTTCCATTCATCTCTTGTTTAGACACTTTCATCGAAAGTTACTCCTACCCTTCCGTTCACTGATTTCTATTCTGTGCAGATACCTCTCCTCAGAGTAACGGTAACACTTTGAAGCACTTAATACAGATCTCATTCCATTAGCTTCCAGCAAATCCCTAATTCTTTGCTGTAGCAACCCACTAATTCTTACATCCATTTTATGTCCAATTTCTTTGAGGCTGTAATGTCCACTCTGCTGATCTCTATGTCCTAACTGGCTGTAGCTGTTCATGCCAAACACACCCCTGAGATTAGTCCATTAAAATTCTCCATCAGAGACTTAGGCTCATCTTCATAGCTGGAGTTATTTAACTGTTATTGTCCCTGTAGCTGTGCAACTTCCGGAAGGTATAAAGGCTTCCTCTTCTTTTCAGACTGAGACACTCTTGGAGAGGTTTCAACAGATCACTTTCCTAAGAAATGAGAACATCTGTATCACTCTCATGCACAACCACCCTCATGAAGGGAAAGACGACTGCTTTAGTTTGACATTAGCCAGCTGATTTGCTGGAAATCAGCCAGAAAACAGCCACAAATCCTACCAGAAATAAATCCTCTGCTGACATCACTTCCTAGAAAATGGGACTCCATGGGAACGGTTCACAGAGAGTAAAGCCAAAAGGTACAACACTACATCATCTCACCTTGCCTCACACAATTCACTGTGGTGCTCCGAGCTGTGTTTGGTTACACAGTGCCTGCTAAGCCAATCTGGAATGGGTGAAGGAAGAAACTTCTCCCATTGTCATTTTTTCTGACAGTTAAACAACCTCAGCATGAAATGCACAGCTTTTGTTTTCTTCTCTTCACACCTCTTCTGCTATGCTTTCTTCTCCTACATTAGAGCACCTGTGAGCAACCATCATTTTTTCCTGTGAAGGTACCCAAGAAGCTGCAATCCAGTAACATCCCAATCTTCTGCCTGATAAGCTGAGCTGATTGAACTTCTTCAGTTTCAGCCACTCCATTTGTCTTTATTATTGCAGTTATTTCAAACAGGCTCAACTACCTGTGAGTAGGACTACACCACGTGACTGCCTTGGTCTTGCCATCAGTTAAACCTTTGCCCCACCAGATGAAATCCACACGTGGTTTTCTTGGGAGAGAGTCTATATTTGTTTTCGGGTCACTGCTGAAAACGTTGCAGGGTGTCGGGGGTAGAGCTAAGCACTGTGAAATCCCAGTAGGTATGTGGCATTTCGCTACCACTTCCTACTGATGACTCTGTGGAGAGATGTGTTTTTGAGGTATGCTAGGGAACTGACACTAGGCAGTGCACACAATGGCATATGGTTAAAAACTGAATAGCTTACAAAAAAACGAGACTTAAATCCTCAAGTGTATTTAGTAACCAAATCTGCAGTTGAATAAATTACACATAATCTTCCAAGGTAACTTGGAAAACCTGGGCTTACAGGTATTAAACACAGAAACCATCTGTATTAGTTTTGAAAACTCCTCTGGAAATGGAATCAGTAGTGTCTAGCAAATCTCTTTTCAGAAAGCCACAAGCTTTTATGATCTGTACTCTAGGAATTCCTTGTTAATTGCATATTGTATCAGCCTCTCAGTTATTCACACAGGATTAAGATCAGTCTCAATTGTCTCTAAGTAACTAGACCATGCTACTTACCCTCTCAAAACTGGCACAGTACAAGGGCTTTTCTAGAATGCCCCAAGTATTCTGAAACACATTTGAACTACAACAGCTGACCAGAGATCTACTAGCCAGCTTGTTAGGACTCTAAACTACCCAGGATCAGAATTAAAAGACAACACAAATCACAGTAGATGTTGGTCAGCACCTTCTGTAGTTAGCAGTAAGTTAGAAAGTATCTCCCCATCCTGTTCCTTACCAAAAGGAGAACTGTGATGTTAATCCACCTCAGCATTTACAACGTCAATATTTGACACATTTTCGGCCAATATTTTTTGTTAAGGATTGCTGTGTTCTATTTGAACAAGCAAATTCATATTGTCTTTAGTCTGGACAAATACAGATGTCTTTCCTACTCCACTGGATTAAGCTTTCTTCCATGTAAATTTTCAGTACACTCTTCATTCTATGGTGTATTTCTTTTTTTTCTTTGGATGACAACACAGCATTAACATCCTTTTGAATTCTCAAGTATTCTGAAATCCATTCAAAAGCAGTAGGAGGGAAATCTTCTCAGCTACTTCTTCTTTTATCTATTTGTTATGTACTTAGTTGTTTTCTTGTTTCTATATGCTCTCTTCGGTCTGGACCCAGATGGGCTTTCAGCCAAACATCTTTTTCTTCATTGTGGCTCTTTGGCCCGACAGAAAATTCTTAAACCATTCTTTAGTCCCATTCACATTTTTTCCAATTTGAGTGTTTCCTCCTCATAAATTCTAGTACTAACAGAATTGCCAGGTTGGAAGATGATTTGGCTAGTGATGATTTACTTCGAGGCATTTAACGTACTTACCTAAGCTACCTACATTCCAGACAAAAGTTATTAATGTTTTATCTTCTTGGCAGTAGCTATTAGACAAGCTGGAGGTGCTCACTCAAGGGTGCTTATTTCCATAAAGAAAATGAGTATAACCAAAATCTCATGACTACTTTAAATGTAATTTAGTCATTGACAGAAGAGGAGTTGACCTTTGCCAAGCAAAATTTTCTCTAGCCGCAATCAAGTAGCATAGCTACAACCCAAGGCAGGGTACGCAGGCTGTGTGGCATGTCCGCTCGGCACGTTTAAACACTTTCTTTCATATGCTCTGCTTTTTTTTTTTTACAAGTTTAGTGGCTCAATTTATCTACAGCAGCATTTCTCAATGTGTCAGACAGGCCTGTGCTTGGAAGCTCAAACAACCCCCAGGAAAACGAGGTGTGCATGTGTACAGAATTAGCCTTGCTTTTTTGCTTCCAATGCTTGTCAATAGCATTCACAACCAAGTTCAGATACACAAATCAAAAGTATCTTGTTGGACGCATGCAAAATGCAATTGTCTGAGTAAGCGTGTTATTATGAGCAAAGGATAAAAAAAATAGCCTGACCCAAAGAGTTCTTGCCCTGTACTCCCACCTGGGCTGTGACAAGTGATTTTACTGTGCATGAAAAATGCTAGGAAGATCTCAGTCTATAACAAACATTGGTTTTCACCTTCATAACCTTTTAAAATGAAGTACTTTGACTTCTCCTACTACCATTATTTAAAGTTTCTTAGATGAAAGACGCTGTAGAAATGCAAAGCACTCTATAAATGTCAGTTAGGCCCCACAGCACAGTAAGTATTACTGCGTAACATGGAAAAGAACTGATTTGTAGCAATCAAGGCACTTAAGACTTTCACTTCATGTATTTGAAAGATATAACTAGCTTTTACATTCCTTTCTGCACCACTTCAACACCCTTTCCTTGAAACTCACCTGGATATCTATTGTTTTTTCTGTAACACAAGTATTTAGCTTCCTCCTCAACACATATTATGAGAAAAAACGTTACTTCCATGTGTGGGCGTACACATGAATGTAATTATGCAAACATCCATTCTGACTTGGATCTAACAGCAGGCCTTCCTGAAATTCTGGTAGCTATGAATGTTGGTACACGTATTCACTACCTCTTTGAGCAGAGCTTAGCCTTAACATATAGTGGTGATCCAATAAACTGCTGCTTTAAATCTGACCTTGTGTAAAATCCTTTAGCATCTGTCAACCTATTTAAAAATGTAAATATCCAGCTGGTCTATGACTGTATCCTAGAAAACATGCTGATGGGCTTTATAAGCCTATTTCATGGCCTATATATGCAAAAGGGAACAATGCCCAATACTCATCAACAAAGAGCTCTGTTTGATGAACTAGGCTCTACCCCCACCCAAATTAACAAACAAGCTGTCACTGAAACCCAGTGGGATCTAGGTCAGGAAACCCATATGCTGCAAGTCCGAGAAAACTAAGGAAAAATCCCCAACTAATTTAAAAACCTGTAAAATACTAAACCCAGATGTATAAATTTCAAATGAGAAAAGCTTATTTAAATTTTGTTGCAGTTTGAGGGGGAGGATGTACTCCAAATAAGTTATAGCAGAAAGCTCTTCTAATGTCAAGTTTGTAAGTACAGTTTTTCTAGACTCTGCTGAAGTCCCAGACCTTTCTAGTCTTACATATTCTGTTAGAATCTATTTCTTGCAGTAATCTTAATTTCTCATGGAGCACCTATAATCTACAATGACTGATATGCTTGCCTGGCCTAAAGGAATGCTAGAAACAACTCACTGTTTCCTGGTTTGTTAACACTAAAAGAGAAATCAGACCTTCATTTTAAAATAGCAAGAAGCAGCAGGCTTTCGTAAAATCATCATGCAGATCTTGACAAAATGAATTGTAGTTATTCAATTATATAACCATCCATTTGTTTGGTCAAGAAAGGAAAACATAATTGCAATCCAATCACTTTCTAAAGGCTGCTACTCTGCATAGAACATGAAATACAATCCCATTTACTCTGCTCCAATGGTCTTTTTGGTGCTGCCCAAGAACAGCTGAAACACCCAACCCCTGAAAAGTTCACAGGCAAGGTCAACATGAGAGATGTTTTCATGCTATTTACTATTTTTTTTTCCAGCCTGACTTGCACAGTTATTTTCCTTTTGTATGTGTGCAGAAGAGGCTAAAAACCAAAGACAACATACTTTCTAAATCCGAATACAACACACTTAACCATATGTGGTATAAAAACTGCTGAGCACCAAGCTACTTTTACCCAGATTTCCAGTAGGTAAAAGCATCTCTCCGTGTAGGGCTAAAAACTGTGTAGTCTGCCACAAGAGGTGGGTGGTACTTTCTGGACACATACACATGAATGTGAACTACGTTGTTTTCTTATTTTTTCCGAACACAGTTTAGCACAGAAGTAATTTGAGGGCGGTCAGTCACTGGAACAGGATGCCCAGGGAAGTGGTCACACCACCAAGATTTTCAGAGTTCAAGGAGTATCTGGACAATACTTTTACTCATATGATTTAGTTTTAGGCAGTCCTGCAAGGAGCAGGGGCCTGGATTTGATGATCCTTATAGAATATCTGAAGTTGGAAGGGACCCATAAGCCTACAATTTCAGGTAGGAACACCAAGTACCAACCACCATGTGCATGTCATGCACGATTGACAGCACAGACAATCGCTGACCTAGTGTAAATGATAACCACGACTGGATAAGGTCTGAAGTTCAAAGAAAATACAAAATACAGGCAAATCAAACTCAGTAGTGCTGGAAAAGAAAATGAAATGTTTGTGTCACACTGGCATATGCAGATTCAAGACATAAACCATTTCTGGCTTCCAGAGTGTATAAGCCTACTGAAGGATACACACAGAGCAGGAGAAAGCACTTCTAATCCTGAGGCTAAGGAAAGAGAGCTACAGTTCCCGTGCTACAGCAACCAAATAACACTGACTGTACTCCCAGATGCTTGAAAAATAAGCGAAGCATGTTAAAGCATTACCCTAAGGGGTGAGGGAGAATCAAAGGCTTCCACTTTAGAAACCAAAATCTTACATTCATAATATTTTGTCGTGTTTAATTTCAACTACACTTGAAGAAAAAACAGCTTCTAAATTCTTTCAGCAACTATTTGCATTGACAAACTGAATTCAGTTTCTATGGTATCGTGCATCTGTAACTTTATCACAGAAAGACAGTGTCACCTGTGCAATCCTTAAGCACGTTTAAAACAATGCCTGACTTTTATTATCTGTTGCATGCAAAAGTATTTCTGCTGTTTCACGTCACCTGCAAATACAGAAGATACTTCTGATTTGACAAGAAAACTACTTAACAAATTGCACAGTTAAAGTTGATTGTGTTCCTGAGTTAGATGCTTAGTCTTTTCATGCCTTGTAAAAAAAACCAACAAAAACATCTACATTTTTAAATAAGAGGTTCTCAAAGAAGATAATAGGTTTAAAAAAAAAAAAAAGATGTCACATGCATTTCAAGTGTTATGTTTAAAACTAAACAACTCTAATGTTAGATTAAAAATTGGATTTTGAAGCTTTTTGTTTTATATGTAACTTGTAATGGTTGCAATTTTGTGTGAAAAAGTATGAAAACAGAGGGGTCTTACTTAGGAATTAATGAAATGGGCCATCTGGTAACTTTTAGACTTTTTCTAAGAACAAAATATCTGTCGTAGAATATCTGTTCAGTAAGTTAACATGAGCAGCAGCCTCTTCAGGGAACAGACTGCTGGTGGAAAGGAAGAAGGGCAACCCACAATTTCTGAACAAAAGAGAGGTGCAGGGAGGTGAGTTTCACATAGCCTCGCAATGCCTGGCCAACATTACAATCAAGGTAAGACTTTAACTTCAGTGTATATAATCAATTTAATTTCAAATGAGTTATGTTGCTAAAAGCATAAGGATGGCAATGATGAGGTCTGTGAGGATTTCAACATCTGCCCCAAAAGGTGATGGACTCAGGCAACTGTACCACATTTTTCCTGCTTCAGGTAAGTGTCCCAGCTCAGACTCTGTGTCCTGTGCAGCAGTACGTTTGCTCTGCTCTCCAAACTCTAATGTATTTGGGATTACAACATACGAAACTGAGTACACATGGGGCATTATTATAGCACTGGTGTCCAGCATAAGAGACCATTAGGCACATAAAATTATGAATCATTCACCTAGAGAACAGTACTCAAAAATCAGATGTCCCAGCACCATCTGCATGCCCAGTCTTAGGGCTGCATTTATTATCCAGTGAATTTTTAGCCAAGCTACCAAGTCTAAATCAACGGGAAGGGTTAATATCATAAGCTTGAATTTCTTGCTGCTTTCAGACTACTCTTAAACGAGAATTCTTGTGCGAAAAAATTAAGGAGTTTTATTGGCACAGACATGAAATGGACGAGTACATATATTAAGAGGATTAATTACACCCAGATTTATGCACAGACTCATTATCATCAATGCACAGAGATGTTTCCAAAATTAACAAAAGGAAGGATTATGCTTTTGAGGCAGTGGGAAGTCAAACAATCAAGGAGACTAAACTTCTCAAACAATCTTAATGAACCGTGAGTGAGCGAGAGTCTGCTTACCTTCCACACACGAGGGCTGAGCCCTTGTTGTACCAGCCACCTGCCCTGGGAAGCAGGAACACTTGACTGTTTGCGATCGTTCTTCAATCCGGTTCTTATTACAGCAACGATGCACGGCCACAACTTCGCATGTCCCTTGCTTGACTTGGTGCTGGCCTAAGAATTGCAGAGATAAGTGATGGAGAGCAAAACAAAACATCGGCACGCAAAGACAAAGCAAGTTCGTAGGGTCTCACAAGATATTGAATCTCTCGAACACCAGTTTAAATCCCAGGAAGACGAAGGAACAAAGCACCTTGTAGGATCTGGCTTACCCCCGAGTTTATCCTATTCTTCCTAATAAAGATTATTTCATCACAAGACAGTGTTTCAGTCTATCTTCTCTGGACTTTACAAAGCCACAGGGAGAGGAGACTGGAGTAGTCAATTAGATGGAGACAAGACAACATGCAGAGACAGAGCATACTCCTTCCTTTGGCTCCTTGTCTTGCACTAGGTTTTATATTTAATTCTTTCCCTTCATAAACAGACACAATGGCAGGGCAGTATTTAATGCAAAGGAAACTTAAATAGTAAGGAAACCTTCTAGCATAACATGTAAGTACTGCTCACTATGCCTGTCATTGCGGGTAGGCTAAGGACAAGGTAGGCTGGCAAGCTGTCACAGATAGTCAAGTTTTGTCAGGAAAAAACCCCAAACATAAACCATGTGGATTTCTCTTGTTCCCTCACAGACCATTTTGTGTCATTGCAGGTAGGCTAAGGACAGGGTAGGCTAAGGACGAGGTAGGCTGGCAAGCTGTCACAGATAGTCAAGTTTTGTCAGGAAAAAACCCCAAACATAAACCATGTGGATTTCTCTTGTTCCCTCACAGACCATTTTGAAGAAACCTGGTGATAAATGTTCTATCCTACTGTTTTCCTCTCAAGTGCCCTTCCTCACAATTCACTGTCCCCTGTTTCTCTGAGTTCATTTTTCCCTTCCTCTCCCTTCCTTTCTCCTACCTCACAACTTAGCTCCACTGCACCTTGCATCTGACCATTTTCCTCCACTGCCAAACTTACTCTCTGCCCTGCTTAAAGCCGTTTCACAGAACCCCTCTCCTCTCTGTGTAAGTCATTTCCACGGCCTCACTTTCCTGAGCAGCCTTCAAGTGCTTCATCTTGCATTTGTCTCGCCTTATTTCGAGTAGAACCTTGGATGGCTCTTATCTATGTTTGTAAAGCACCTTGTAAATTAACAGCACTACAGAACAGGGTGGGTTTTTTAATAAGTGAGTAGACAGAGACAACGCCGAGAATAATAAAAATATTCACCATCAAAGCAGAACAGGCTCCTGCTATGAGAAGTGACTACAGTGCAGATACTGGCGTGGGTGTGTGTAATATCAAAGGTACGGCAGACTAAAGAGAGGAAGGGGAGAGCACTCGTCAGAAACAGACAATTCCAACCAAGTGGCAAGCCTGGAGGGTTGACCTGTTTCCTACTCACTCCATGTTTGCCCTATTTTGTCAGTTTGGGGTTTTTTACAGTATCTGTTACTAATACCAGTGGCAGGATTTTGACGTAGAGAACTCCTTGGTCTGATGCCATATGTCCAGGCTCACATCCTTAGAGACGAAATCTTACTGAGTGATTAAGATCATGGTACTTTTTGGGCAGAAATTTTTATGATTCAATGAAGTGGGAAAATCTTACCCTTCAAAAGAGTTACCAATGCAACTTCGGCTTCTAATGGGATTAAAAAAAAAAAAAGAGTACTTAAATGTATATAACTTCTTAAAAGGTTGGCTTGGCAATGTTCCTTTGCCGCGTGTGTTTTGGTTTCGCAAGTATTTCAAGCACAACTAAAGCGCTGCCTGACTTTTGTTGCCAAATTGGTATTCACAACCACCTGAATGGACGAGAAACTATGTAAATGCAATCCTGGAAAGGAAATTTAGTCTTCTATTTGTGCACTCAACGTGTAAAAAGAAATTATATATACAGAGATGGCTTTGGGGGTTTTTCTGAGGAAAACGTTACAGTGTACTTTTTAGGCAAAATATGCTACCACAGAAAAATGCATAATCTATTTTACAGAAAGTTGGAGAAACGTTGAAGACAGCATAAAAGTATCTTACATAGCTATGGTAAAAAGTTTTTTGGTGGAATGTGAATTTGCATGCAAGTACCTAGTACCTATATTATAATAAACATGGGGAAAAAAATAAAAACAGCCACCAGCTTGTAGGACAGTAGCTTCTCTGTAAGCCAATATGGAAAATAAATAAACAAATAGAGAAATTAAATTGGCCATGCAACTTCATTGTAAAGTGTTGTTCTACAAAACACCTCTCATGACAATGTTTGGGGAAAATAAGCAGATGGTCAGGGGTTCTGACAAAAATATTTTGTAAAATTAGGTAGTTCACTTAAGAGAGTATCTTTTTTATTTATTAGATCTATAGCTTCAGTCAAAATCCTTTTGAGTAAACTGGGAAAATTTCCATTGCCTTCCTACAGTGCTTACGGTGGTGGTTCTGCATTTGCTGGAGTCAACAACAAAATGTCTATTGACTTCAGGAGGGCAAGATAACAGTCTGGACTGTCTCTTGGGAGAGGATTTTATAAGGGAGGGGGGAAAAAAGCAAAAATCTGGAAGTGCTCAGGCAAAATACTTGAGTTTGCTTTGTGTCCCATCTGAAAGACCAAGTGGCCAGGTCTTCTTTCTAATTAAAGTCATTATTCAGCAAACATCAGTGCCAAGATAAGAATAGAAGCCATTTTTTCAGAAGGTACATCACAAGGATGGACTAGATCCAGCTCTAACAATCACTGTGTAGCTGAAAGAACGCCTGTTTTCAAGCACAAATCCTCCTTCCTTTAGGTGAACAGTCCTGTTAAATCAATACCAAAATAAATCAAACAGGTTGGCCCTGAGCATACAGCCCAAAAAACCTGGGGCTCGCTTTCAATTACCTTGCTTGGATTTTCAAGCAGTGACAGTGCTCCCCTGAAGGGCCAGGAGTCAACAGGCACACAGATGTTTGCAGAAGGGAAAATTAAGCTACCTCATGAATACATCCTTTGGTTTACCACCTGGTTTACTGTACACTGATTCATGCTTCGCAGCTACACACACAGGTAAAGAGAGCAGGTCTCCTCCTCGTCTGCTGGCAGGGTGAGGATGGTAAGATTCAAAAGTACTGCTGCCATGCCAAGGAAGACAACACACTCCTCCCTTGTCCCTAGAGCACAGCTCCTATGGAGTATTACAGCGAAAAGTACTAAAAAGCCAAAGACATCTGCATGCATCATTTGCATTAATTGAATTGCCCTTGTAATAGTCTTTCCCCTCCTACATATTCACATCTATATTTCCTCCTGCTTGTTCACACACATCTTAACACTTGATTCCGTTGAACACCATACACATTGCTTCTTAATATTCCGACACCTCTGCGAACAGGTGCTGAACAAATGCCGAGCGTTACCATGCTAGCTTTCTGTCCCGGTTTTGTTAGCATTCAGCAATCTAGAGGGCAAGCTCTCAGTTTCCAGAGTCACTGTCAGATTTAAGAAACCATCCACTCCGTCTATTCTCTACCTAGATCTACTGAAACTGGTTGTATCTACATGCAGGTGCCCAAAGGCAGCAAAAAGAAAGAAAATAGGAATACTCTCCTGCACATTTTAATCTCCATCTCGCATTAGATAAACCTTCATCTTGGGTTTAAAGTACATTTAAGGTACAGCTGAGAGCATAATGACAGAAAAAAAATCAAGAACAGTCTTTAAAATATTTTATAATCAATGGATCCTCAGGAAGCCAAGCCATTAGAGGAGCAGGGACTGAAGAATTTTTAAAGTGTGAAGATCACAGTAAGTGAATTCTATGCCAGACACATCAGGAAAGCCATTTCAGGGAGAACTGCAGTGAGAGATAGGGAGAAAGCCAGGCTCTGGAGAGCGAAGCCCCTTTGGGCTCACTTATAAAAAGCCCATAAATTCATAGCTCTTCACCTGTAAACCTATTCAGATCTGCAACCTAAGGGCTGTCAATATTTGCAGTTGAAATTCAGTTACATCTTCACATTTAAATAAGAAAACTCTCCAAGGAAAGATATATTTTATCAGCGAGAGTACCAAGGAAAGGTTCCTGTCATAGAACAGCTTCTGCATACCAAAGAGGGGATGTCTGCCAGCCAGGCACTGTGGAGGACAGAGGATGAATGTTGAAAACTATGGGGCTCTGGGTTACCTCTGATCAGGAGTTTGGTACACGTGTTGCTCTCCATATTCCAATTTCTTTACAGCTCAGCTTCCCTAGAAATACCAATGCTATTCAGGTTCACAAAGGACACTCTCAATCTCTGCACATAGGGCACAGGCATAACAGGATCGGGCTCGCTAATGGAAGCGACCTCCGAGACACTCCCTGCTCTCAACTGTGCTGCCTTTCAGAGTGATACACCTATTTCATAATGATATACAGATAGCGACAGCCTTCAGAATGCCTCCTAATGACTACACAGACTGGCCACACAAAGGCTCTGCCACCATTTCTTTTTGTCTGTGGGCTTTCCAGTCCTGTGTAGACTGTGTAGAGCTGCTAGACAGTCTTCCGAGGAAGACAGTCATCATCTCTGAAGAACAAGAAAGTACAAGTTATGAGGTTATTAGGCTTGCACATAACAAGCCAGCACAAGTGCTGTGGGTAGAGTTGACTGAATAATCACCACTGAACTGTTTATTCTCAGTTTAATATGTGTTTTTTTCAACTAACTAATTTGACAAGACCTTATTTTCACTTTCTTCATAGAAGTCAGGGGGGCAGATATGCAATTAATGCTTCTAAACCCTTTGAAATCCTCAAATGAAAAGAGGGAAATACAATTATTGTTAATAAAATATCAAACAGCACAGTACTTTAAAACTACAAGGAAAATATCAAAGAAGGTGGAAGGCTTTCAGAAGGTTGCTAGCCAATTCTGTCCACATGCATTTCATCTTTGTGACTAATTCTAATCCCTCCCAAGGAGAACTCTTCCAATGCAATATACATACAGGGAGCATGCTTTTATCAGAAATCCAGAATAGTCTCCTCTTTTTCCAATTTCTTAGCTAAGGAAAAGACACATTTAAAGGGAGTTTTTATCTCTGTTTCATAAGC